GCGACGTTCCCGAACGAAACAGATTCACGGTTATCGAAGCTGTGGTGTTTTCGACGCGATGGGACACGACGATCTTATATACATATATATATATATAATTTACGGCGGATAAGGTGAGTCAGTGAACGAAAAAGGCAAAAGAAGAGTGGGAGAGACGAGAGACAGTGGCGATGGTTTTATGGCTGCCTCGTATTCGTTATATAAATATATCTATATACAGGGCCAGGCGCGCTTAACAAAGACGTCGGTCGCAGCGCGAACAAGATACTACAGAGGGATGATACTATACAGATATATACGAGGCTCGTGCGAGAAAACGAGGTTGCATGAGAGTCGCGTACTCCAAGCGGGCAAGTAGCAGCGGCGCCACGGGGGCGGCCGACGCCAACCGTGAATGCTTCGATCCACCGCCTCCGCTTTTTTCTCGCACCAGTTTTCCTGACTATACCGAGTTTAACGGGCTTTTTTACGCTTTTCTCCAATCCAAACTCGCCCAACGCTCTAACTGCACAATTTTTTACAATAATACGCCTCACACAATAAATTATTTTCAATTATCGATTCTTTATCCGAGTGATCATACTGGATCGCGCACAAGAATTCGGAAGTTACTAAATGCCCTGGTGCATAGAAAAACTAGTTTAAACATAGGTGCACTAAATTAGTACTTTAGTACATAAGTTTCATTGAAAACTCTGATACTTTTTTCGATGAAAACTGATTTTACTGCAATTAATTTCTTTTTACTCTGGCTAGACTATCAAGTTTGATCAATTTAAAATTGACACTGTTTCAACTCAAGAAATGCTGATTGTAAGAGAGAGATGTTTAAAATCAGTTCTATAGCACTGTTTTGCAGCAAAGCTCACTTTTTATAATTAGAACTAAAATTTTAGCAGAAAATAATTATGCAAGTCTCGGTGAATCAAATATTTTCTCAAAAATAGCTATAAAATAAAATACGTACAATTATGGGCATTTACTATTGCAAATTAATGTATTTCGACACAATCTTTGACCGAAAAGCTGATTATTTCGATCAAAAACAATCAGGTGGGGTCTTTATGACAAGGAATATAGATTTAATGTCATTTATCATCGAACGATTGGAAAGATCTGATGAAACGTAAAAGCCATTGGAGTTATTGAAAATTTGATACTCTGAACTTACAATAATAAGAATACTTTGATCTCCACAACGAAGATCTGCTTAAATGAAAGTGTAACCGTAGAATGATTGTTAAATTGTGGATTGTTTAAATAGCTTTGAAGATCTAAATTATTAAAATATTTCATTGATAGTTTCGGAATTTTTATTGATATTTTAGGGCAAACGAACACTTTCATTTCATTCAAAATTTAAACACATATTCTGCGATTTCTACTTGATATTTTTTGAAGAGCTACACGGACACGAAGAAAGTAACAAAATTAATCTATGCACGTAGCTACACATAAAAATTTCATTAGAAATTGCAAAAAAAGCGTTGAAAGATAATGATTTGAGCTTCAGTCAAAAGTTCCTCATCATCCACCCATTGTCATAAAATCCCAAGCTTTTTATTAAAAATAATAATATAAAAATTATTTTTCTAAATTTATCTAGCGTTGTTATTTTAGGCTTTCCAACTAATGAATATCGTCAACGTTAATAGTAAGAGAAGAAAAAAAACTGAGTCCTCGAGCCGAACGAGATTTGCAGGTGTCAGTTACGAAATATTTCAAAGTCCATCGACAAGCCGGCGTTTGTGCAATTGGAGAAAAGAAGTGCGCTGCAGCTCGATGAAAATAATTAGCAATTACGCTGGTGGGTGGATATAAAATGTAAAATGCAGGGTTTCACGAGAGCTGGCAGTATCGAGAGCAGCATCGATTGTCGTCGCGTAGCCGAGAGCGACGCCGAGTCGGGCTGGTGCGTCGGCTTACGAAATTGCTCGTGGCTGCAGGCCATTGCGTTGAAAAAGGGGTTGCTCTCGCGCGCTCGTCGTCCATACAGCCTAGGTATACCGAGCGTATACACGTGTATACAAGTGAACAGACTTCGCAGCAGCCTCCTGTATACATTACTAGCGGAGCTCGTGTTTTTGTTCTTGCTCGGCTATTGTTCCCCGCGCATACGCGCATGTAATGTACAGCCGCATAACGCATAGAGAGCTCTTGCAAGGCAGAAATGTGTCATACTGGCAACTGCGGAGAAGCGAGTACGCGCCAGCTGTAGAGAGAGAGATCGCGGCCTGTGGCTTCGATTATTATGCACGCGTAGGAAGCGAGCAGAATCACGGGCCCTGGGCACTGCTCGCGGGATTCGCTACAGCTCGCCCTCCATATATAGCTGCACTCGGACTCGTCCCCCGAGCTTTCGGCTCGAGCCATCTGAGCTCTCTCGGCACTGCACAGGTAATGCCGTGTACCCCCTGCAAAGGTGGCCTGCATCCACTTTTTCTCTTTCTGCTTCCCCCCTTTGTTTGCCGAGAAGTACGCGACGCGGCTAGTCACGACTCGAATCGATGGATCGATAGCCGCTTAGAGCCGATCGTATACCAACCGAATTGCCTTTTTCTCGTAACATTTTTGCGCAGCGATCCTTCGTACGATCGTCTCACACGAGTATCCAGCTGCCCGTAGCTACATAATTCGCTAAAATCCACTCTTGTTTTTCTTTGAATTTAAACGAGCGGAAATGACGATTTCGGTCGCAATAGCCGAAAAAGCTTCCTGCACATATACCTATACGATGGAATTCATCGCTCTCCGCTCGTTGAACGTTGAAAAGCGATATTTTTATCATCGTTTCCTTCGTACGTCGACACGCATCTGTGACAAAATAAAGGTATATTATTCTGTAGAAATTATCTATGAGCTCGAATGCGCTCGCAGTATCCGTATTGAATGATATCGGCGAGAGCAACTTCCGCCGCAGCAACGTCGTATACACATTACGCATAGTCGACTTGATAAATTATTTGCTCGTTAGCATTCCGCAAAAAGCTCGATTCTTCCAAGTATTTCTCGTTCACCTATGGAGCGTCAAAAAAAAAACACTCTTTATATTATTAGTGTTGAAGCTCGAGGTGGTCCTTATCTTTTTGTCAACGCTGTAAACAACCGCACGAGTGTTTACCAATCACAGTGGAAATGGAAAGCAAGAGAGACCAAGAATTAAAAACGAAGCAATTTTTCAGCAAAGCGACAGATTTCAGACAGAATCGAGTAAATGTAGCTGCTCGAGTATTATATGTAGCGAGCATTAAAATGTCTTTAGCGCAGAAAGTAAAGTCTCTTTATCGGCTGACTGGAACGTGCGGGTAGACATATCGGCTTGGAGCAATCTCTGGATTCTGACTAATTTTTCTCTATACCGCTCCCCGCTCGTCGGGCGGCGGCAGTCAAGTCGGCAGCAGTCAGCAGAGCGCAGTTGATGTTGCACACGCACACACATGGGCGCGCGCGACCCACACGGCTCGGTGCTCACTGCTCGCAGGTAGGGGATTCGAGCGCGATACAAGTCATTCTCGTACGATTCCCCTTACGTTGGATATATATATAACTCTAACGTGTACGCGTACAGTTATACCCCACTATGATACGCTTTATACACATTCTTTCTTTCTCCCTCTCTCCGACTGGTCTGCCTCACTCGTTTTCATTTGCTTCTTATTTTTCTCCGCTAAATTATCGCAACTCGATTCAATATCTGTTTTTTCGTGGCCGTAATCTTGAGAGCGCGACTCGTCGAGCTTTATCTGGGATCGTCGTTTCGTTTATCCGACTCGAAGGCTGCTTTGGACCGACTGCAGTAGTTGGACTTGTAGACGAGAGCTCGAGGCATGTACAAGACGTCGCTCGTGATCGTTGCTTCTATGAAATGTTGGACGAGCCGATGACTGGATTACATCGCGCTTAATTTACATGTCAAATTTTGTCCTCGACCAAGTCCTTTGGCCGTTCTAACAAAAGGAAGGAGCGAGCTCGAATGCACTGCCTCGTATTACTGAAATCTTACGATGATTTATAGGTGTATTGTAGCTGGCCTCGTAAAACCAAAACTAATAATCACCGAGCTCGCGTGTCAACGTTTGGATTAGTCGTATTTGAAATAACTGGAAATAATTTGAGAAGTAATATATATATAAGATACGCGCCCAAACGGTCGTCCTGCTTGAAACAAAACAATGTAAGGCAATAGGTAGCATACGGTATAAAAAACAGCCGCACAATATCCTCGAAACTCACGAGTTATATACATACGTAATAAAAAACGGGTCAGATTTGGTTGCCTTTTCAAGGTCTTGGTAAGATTACACGATTCACGATACGTCTACGGTCAGAGTAAAGACACCGAGAAACAATTGATCGTTAAAAATTGATGCTTGGGCGAATGTCGAGATCGATTATAGTTTTATATTTATGAAAAACTTGATTGTCTCAAGTGTGTAAAAGAGTAATGAAAGCTGGAATAACAAAGCATACGCGATGTATATGTAATTCAATATACGTATCGCATGTGCATCCAAATTTCAACGTGAGTTATTACAATGTCTAAACATTCGATAACGATCGCGTCAACATCGAAGATAGGTATAGGTATAGAAGCATCCGTAGACGACGAGTGGAGTCGCGAGCGTTAAAAAGAGAGATAGAGAGAGAGAGAGAGATGCAGACGGACGCTCGTGATCGGAGCTCGGCTCCAGAGCGACGGGGGCGGTGGCTGGCCGCGTCCGCCATGCGAGTCGCTCGTCTGCTTCTCTCTCTTTCTAAGCCCCTCTCTTGCCCCCCTTCCCGTTGGATAGAGCGTGCGCGCGCGCGTCCGACTGTTGGGTCGCCTCCCAGTCCGCTGCGTATGATCGTTGCTCCCCCGCTCGCAGGCAGCAGCAACAGCGGCAACGTACGGCGGCGGTGGCGGCGATAATACACGCGCACGGCGCAGCAGCACGAGCAAGCTCGGCGTCGAGGGGCGACCGACGCGCCTGGCTTTTGCGCTTCAGTCGATTTTCGCGACGCCCGCGAAACACCTACACGCTATCTGCGCTCTTCGCGCTCTCTGCGCGCACCCACACGTACGCACACAAACCATTAGCACCACCACCACACACCTATTTGTATATAAATATACAGTGGTACACAAAGTCACACTCACTCACACACACACACGAACGCACACGCACACACTCACACATACACACGCGAGATAGCCGCAAAAAGGTGCCCGTGCATGACTAGTACATACCAAGTATAGGTAGTACGTGCTGCTGTATAGTGATACATCGCGACAGAGTAAACTGGCCTGCTCTCCGCGGACTGCGACTCTCGACTCTGGCTCGCTTCGACTCGACGATCTGCGCGCGCCTTTCGCACTACATCCACGATCCAGCTTGCTTCTGTCGCGAGTCGACCACGTCGTCCCGTCTCTTGTGCTTTTGCACCCAGCCACAGCGCGAATCGCACAATTTGCACGTTTTACAAGCCGAATATCTGACATCTGTGCACAAGAGATGCTCCTGCGACGAGCCTGAGTGCGTGTGTGCGCGCGTCAGTCCGCGCCTTATTCTCTCTGCGTACATGTACACGTACGACGTTGGCAATTGCATAGCCAAAGCGAGCCATTGTTCAGTGAAACGCATCCGAATCAGCTATAGTCACCAGAGCAGCAGCAACAGTGGCGGCAACAGCTAACTCGTGCAAGATCAGTCAATCGCAAGCAGTTTCAATGTCCTGACCTCCACCAGCCGTCATGGCTTAACTTAGCGCAGTGCCAGCCGCGGATCATCCTTTCTTCGCTCTTCACCTCTCCCTCTTCTGTCCGTCTCACCACTTGTTCATATTCGCACTTGTCCTTAGCTCCCGTCGACGATTTCTTCTTTGTCTGTGAACGCTTAAAGCTCCTCTTGTTTGTTCTCTTCCCTCTCTCTCTCTCTCTCTCTGCACCCACATCCAAATTCCATCTCAGCCTGTCCCGATCCGACGACTGTTGGCACAAGTGGATCGGCCTACTCGACGTTTTCGCAATTGACGCGATTGGCGTTGAGAATTACTCTCGCTAGGCAAGTCCAGTCTCTAGCTTGTTGGACATTCGTCAGGCAGGTGTGTTGGCACCCAATGCAATCCACTGTCAACGAGGCTGCTCATTACAGTATATCGAGCGGCGGCTGTGACGACTGCTAGCTACGACTACTTCGCAGTTCCCTTCGGTGGTGCGCTATAAATATACGCGCCTGCCACAGTGGATCATAGAAAGGCTACGTGATCGTCGATTCGACGCTCGAGGCATCTCCTTAGGGCGTCCGAGCCTCTTTCGTTCGAGCCAGCGCTGGCAGTGCAAATAAGTCGCGCGGTTCAGTGCTGCTTGGCACTGACAACATCGAGAGTGCAGAGACACTGCACCGACAGCATCGAGCGACCACTTGGAATGCTCGTTTGCGCTGCGGTTATGCGGCTGTAGCATAGTCGTGCGGGCATGCGTGCCTGCTGCTGCTGCTGACCTCCGGCCCGTCGTCACTCTGTGACAATAGTCATGATAAGAAGAGCTATGCGAATGCCAGCAGAAGCCGTCGTCGAAGCCAGCGAGCCTTCGTCAGCAGCCGAAAGAAGCCACGGCAAGCGTGTGTACCTCCGTACTTTAGATGCCCAATTTCATACAGAAGAAGTCGCATTAGCAATCTGCGCTGATCTGCTTCATCTCGCGCAGTCGTGAAAGTCACGAAAGCTTTCTCCCACCTCTGCCCCCTTCCCCCCCTCCCCCTTCCCCACCACCACTCTCTTTTTCTCTCTTTTCCTCTTATTCTTCCATCTGCCTTTTATGTATCATTTCATTTCTTCATTAGTCCTGCAATTCATACCTCCTCCTACGCATTATGTCCATTTTCAAATTTTTGTTCTCATGAAACAGTATCAGTGTGATCATCGATGTGAATCTACGTAAATCCATTTAACGATACAGTGATGTGCTTTATACAAAGTGTTGTTTACGCAGTTAGTTTTTGGATTACAATAGTTGCAGTGTGACTAATTTACGTATCAAAGTGAAATTATTATCATTTTTCCTCTTACTTTTCTTTATTGTTTTCTTCGGTCCATATCACCCTCGGCCCATCGCTTCCTTACTCCTCACTGGGTTTCAAAGTAACTCAAACGGATCGTTTTTTTCTGCACAAAAGTTATTAGTGCCGCTGCCACTGCACTGGTGCTCTAAATTGTTTATTTTATTGTAGTTAATATGAACACCAAATAAGCAATATATAAGTGCAGTTTATGACTTAATGTAGAGCTAGAGAAAAGGCAGCCAAGTTATCAAGCGGTTTGCAACCCTTGATGCAGCACGCACAATCCTGAAGAGAACACGTGAATATGAGCATGACTCTCGAACGCAACGCATTCAAAGGTATGAAAATCTAACGTCATTTTCTATTGGTTATTACTTGATTAGCTAATTGCAATTTTCTACTGCTTGCCGTTTAATTCTTATTCATGCTTTTCGCAGCAGCATGTCGTGACTCGGTCTGTAGATTCGAGTATTAGATAACTCGCTTGCATTTTACCCATTAACGACGAAAAGGCTTGATTTTTGTTGACTTTCGAAACGATTTGTTCCGTACTTTTAGGCCCACTTATTTCGATGTACAATTTAATGCCCTTTCAGAAACTGAGCTTAAAATTTTGATTTTTTGGATGGTGAAAAGATATAGCTTTTTAAACAAAAAAAAACTTAAAAAGTTTTTGCAAAAAATCAATTTCTCGATTTTTTAGCCATGTTACCGCTAAGGAATCACCATTTAAACATGATCAGAGATGATCACGACTATCAAAGTATCGCAGTGAATTTTTATGGAATTTTTGAACCATTTTTCCTACTATTGTTTTGTGCACTTTTTCTCTAAACTCAATAGTAAAAATGAGTTGTGTTTTTTTATATGAATATAAATTATTTTTTGTTTGAAGGAGACTATCCAAAAAATCGAAATTTTAAACTCAGTTTCTGAAAGTGCATTGAATTTTACATCGAAATAGGTGGGTGCGAATTGTTTTAGAGAACTGAAACTACGGAACAAATCGCTTCGAAAGTCAAAAAAAGTCAAACCTTTTCGTCGTTTCGGGCCTTTCGTTTATCTGTGCTTCAGTCCGAGAAATAATTCAAATATTGCATTAAAATGCATAAATTCGGTAAAACGTTTTGAATTCAAGTACGGATGATCTCGTATATCAGACAAATACTCGACACGGCCTATTTAAATGTAAAATGAGAATCCTTGAATACGCCGCATATGTTTTCTGTGGGCATCGAATGACACCAAACAATAACTACTTACACATTCAACAATGGGAAAGGTTCTAAAATCTGTTGACGGCGGCAATTTTCGGGATTGGAATTTCGCTTTAAATACGGCTTGAAGAACGTTTCGAGAAAAAACTCATCTGCATAAACAAAGCGCCGTCCAAGGATTAGTCGAATCACCTAATAGGCTGTATAGTACGCATAAGAGGTCGCGAACTCATTCAGAGATGCAGCGAGTGCTGTCCATGAGGATACTGTTACTGCCCTAATACACCTCCCCAATGACATTGTTCGTTTCCCCTTCGCGCGTGCGACGCCGCGCAAACGCCTTGCAGTTCGTGTCTACCTGCACTTTCCTCTCACTGGCGCCACTGTACAGCTCTTGTAGGCTCTTTTCATTGGCTCTTCGATGCCGAGAGGCGTGTTTTTCAACGTCTTAATCCTTAATCGTGTAGCCTCTCGATTTTAATGGCTGAGAAATCAATTTGCAAAACACGCCAAAACATTTAAACATTTTTATGTAGATTATTATTTTACGTGCATATATTAATACATGACAAGTATTAATATTATTACTTGGCCATATAGTAAAATTATTATTAGTCTAGTCCGTCTCCAAATAATCACGATAAAAGTTATTCCCAAGTTATGTTGTTATAAAAATCAAATTTGTCTCAGCCCAGTATGATAATCTACAACCATTGATTTCAACAATATACTCCTACAGTTCTATTAAATTATAGTCTGTACAGACTGTAAACTGAAGTTTATTCTCACGAATGGACATTTGCCGTGCTTTAGAGAGTAAAATTATACAATTAAACGGTCTTGATTACTTCAGTTTTGATAATAAAGAATGGGTTCGAAGCTGAGACAAAGCAAGTGTTTCCTGTGCATCAACAAAATGATTTTATTTATTATTATTAATTTTTATTTTATTTTTATTTTATAGAAAATTCATGAGGAATTTATATTTTGCGGCATTTTGACAATTGAACTATTGCAATAACACCCTTTTGGATTTCTCTAAATCACAGAGTCACACGCTATTCCGATAGTACAAAAAAATAACGCAATAATTTATGATATATGATATTAGAATCATGCGTCAGTCGACGTGCATGATTAACATACAGCGTTTGCGTTTGAGTGCGCGTGTGTATGTATGCGTGGAAAAAGAGGGAGCAAGGCAGGAATAAGTTTGTGGTATTGTGTTTCAGCCAGCTCACGCTTCATCGGTGGCTCGTTCATATGGAGCTTTGCACAGCTGATTTGTCGCCGACTATTATACTTTGTTTCTTCTCGAATGAATGTTGCGAGTTAAATACCAAACACAAGCCATGTATATATAGCTCCTCTGGTAGTCGGTCGTGCTTGCGCTAAATATTTTAAATGTTACTTTTGCTCGACATTTTTTGCTTTTTTAACCTTGAATATAATTGTTAACGAACATTAGAATTATTGCTTTTTCGAAGTACTGATAAAAGTGCAGTATTAAAAAGCTTTTTAATCGAGATCCTAAGTATTTGAGTTTCTTGCATGGACAACTAATAAAAATATCAACTCAACAGAATGAAGTTTGAAAATTGGCAAAAGTTGAGATAAAACTGTAGGAGAAGTAAACGGTCTGGGGGGTAAAAACGATCTCAAACTTATAGTAGAGTTGAAGACAAGTCGAAAGCAACAGAGTCCTTGCAGTGAATAGAAAAATGATTTGATTATAAGGAAAAAGACAGATCCGATACAGTTGTACGTGAGTAATATGAATTAGGAGGGAAGCAGGCAGTCAAACGCGAGGCTCCGAGAACTAAAAGCGCTGAGAGTCTGGCTAGTAGCGAGATTACAAGTGTGATTATAATTCAGTCAATCGAGCGAGCTGTATAGTCGAGTGGATAATGCTCGGACACGGCGGAGTGTCGATCTGCCAAAGAAAGTAGTTGCGCCACGACTGACGGCGGCGGTCGACGAGCCAGTATTAGCGAGAACGGCGAGAGCACACGCAGCCTGCCGCAGCGCCGAGTGCACTGATGCAGCCTCGAGCTCAACGACCTCTTCTCCTGCTGCACTGCCAGTTGATTTCACTGCTACGCTCTACGCCAGTCTGTATAGCTCTTGCTACCTACATGGGCATCGAGACATTTGCGATCTCTCGCGAGCCACGCACACAAGCCCGAAGCACGCCACGCTCTCGAACAATAAACTCTTCAGGTTGAAGCGCGCGTTTTACTGGCCGTGCGTGCGTATGAAATAAACGATCGGTTTATTTTAGACACGCCTGCGTCAACCGTCCCAAGCTTTCTTATTTCCTCTCGTTCCACTCTTTTCTCTGTGCGCAAAAGTACCAAGTCGACGCTTACGCCCTGTCTTCGTGCAACTTGAAAGCTCCAGATCGACTTTAACTGGATACCCTACTATTTCAGCTCTAATTGCATCTCAACGATTAAATTTTTAGCAATTTTTGTACAATACTTGCTCGGATAGACGCTTCGAGCTAAGACGCATGAAACGGTCAGTTATTGTGCAAAATAATGAAAACTGCTACGAGTCGAAATGAACAAATGAAGCTTCACAAAACCACAGAAACGAGCTCGATCTAGATGCACGCCGGGCAATTAGTGCTGATTGCTTGTCGCAACAGCAATTTACTGCTCAACCCGTACATTTATACATATAATATATATATACATTGATGAAACTCGTACACTATAAAGCGTTTAATTTAGTAACAGCTCGAACGTAAACACAGGGAAACAGGGGTTCTGTTAATGCTAGCCCGTATACAATTGTTATTATTGCCATTTACAATTAAGTCAGGCCCGAGCCCTACTACGCTGTATCTACATTTTTCAGTTCTTCCAAAACTAAACGCCTTATAGTACACATTTATTCCAAAGACAAAGAGTGAGAGTGACTCGTGTGTTTCCATGACGAACAATGATGCCATGACCGACATAGTTGTCCACCGCTCTCGCCAACAGTAATAAATTTACTCAAATTACCTCTTATTAGCTTATTAGCTACCTATAAAGAGAAAATTTCGATGGTTTGAAAAAACTTGGCGTTCTGTACAAAAAGATTTTTTTTTTCAAAACTTAATTTTATGCTATAAAGTGCATATCGATTAATTTGCATATTGAAAAGCCTCAACTGAAGTTTTATTGAAATGTATAAAATATGTTTTTACTAATAAAATTTTCTTTCGTGAACAAAAATTATTTACATAGAATTGAAAAAACTGATCCAAAGTCGTATTATAATCAATGTTCCTATTTTCATGTGCACCAAAATTCCAATCTAGATTTTACTTCTAAATCGTATGATTAAATTTGCTCTAAAGTACTCCGTCCTCACGAATTGTAAAATAAACTTTGCCCCAAATTTTTCTTCGTATCGTTTTGAAAACTACTAATATTTGTTCAAATTTCAGCTTTCTTGTATTATTCTTATGACATCATTGCATTATATTATTTATGTGCGAGTTATTCAATATCGCGTCCTTAATTAAACCTATTTGCTGTATGATATAAAGTTTTTAATGTAAATATTGTCTTAACAAACTTTGCCATTAATGTACAGTGAATTTTCAAACCAATAAAAAAAACGTACTTGTCCAATCGCTCTATATAAGAAAAATTCCAGATGGGAGTTAGTAATAAATAGGTGACTGCGTGCGAATCCTGTACAACGTAGATACATTTCTTTTGAATTTTCGAAGAATTATTCCTTTTCTTTCAATATAGCACCTTTCAATGCGCTGCGCGCGCAAAAATCACAATCAAGTCATCAAATTTTCAAGAGTAGATTTCTTTGATATCTTCACAATTTTTTTCAGAATAAACGAGATTGCAGTTTCAGTTTAAAAAATGATTTTTAAATCCCGTTTTATGAAAATTTTATTCAATATTTCTCTAAGCATTATGAACTTGGTTTTGACATTTTCTGAAATATTCGACGTGGTCCGAAAAAACTCAGGGAAAATAACTTTTAACTAAAATCATGTCCCGATTCTATAGTGCTAATTTTAAAACTAGAAAAAACATCTACTAATTAGTCCACAATGGTGTCTTATAAAAATTGTAATTACCATTATTTTCAAACAAACAGTCTTT